ACCGAGACCAGGGCCCCCATCGCGCCGGGCCCTGCACGGACCCGACCGAGACCAGGGCCCCCATCGCGCCGGGCGCTGCAGAGACCCCGACCGAGATCAGAGCCCCCATCGCGCCGGGCGCTGCAGAGACCCCGACCGAGACCAGGGCCCCCATCGCGCCGTGCGCTGCACAGACCCCGACCGAGATCAGGGCTCCCATCGCGCCGGGTGTAGAACAAACCCTGGCCGGGATTGAGGACCCCATCACTCTGGGTGCTGCACAGACCCATCCCAACTGAGATCGGGGCCCCCTAATGCTGGGCACTGCACAGATCCCCGCCCCCCATTGAGACTGGGGGCCCTGTCACACTGGGTGCTGCACAGACCTGACCCAAGAACGTGATCCCCAGTCCCTCCTGCTCTAACCCACTCGATCCCACTCCCCTCCCAGTGCGACAATAGAACCCAGGAGTCCTGACTCCCTGCCCCCCATCCTCTAACCCACTTCACCCCACTCCCCTGCCAGAGCGACAATAGAACCCAGGAGTCCTGTCTCCCCCTCCACCGCCCCCCACATCCTCTAACCCCGTTCACCCCACTCCCCTGCCAGAGTGACAATAGAACCCAGGAGTCCTGTCTCTACTCCCCCCCCCCGCCATCCTCTAACCCACTTCACCCCACTCCCCGCCAGAGCGACAATAGAACCCAGGAGTCCTGACTCCCTGCCCCCCATCCTCTAACCCACTTCACCCCACTCCCCTGCCAGAGCGACAATAGAACCCAGGAGTCCTGACTCTCGCTCCAGTGTTCCAGCCACTAGACCACGCTGCCACTCAGCTTTTGATAATTCATTGACGTAGTTGATACCTTTCATATCAGGGGCATCTTGCCATCTCAGGCTGTTTGAGTTCCTATTGGCAACGAAGCAATGGGGCAGCAGGTGGGGATTGAGGAGCGCTGCCAGAGGGAGGGGGAGGCAGGGAACCCCAAGGCTCGGATTGCAGGGGGTTGGGAGCTGGGTATTCAAGTGCATTTTTCCTGCCTGGTTCTGCTGGGGTGAGTTCAAACATTTACTGTCCCCTCCCAGTCTGAGCCGCCTACCACGACAGGATGCAGAGCTGTCACCCTTTGCTCTCCCACAGCCAGCATTGCTGTACAGCTCCAACCCAAGTTGAACACAATTGAAATCTACATTTAACACAGCATCCCTTGTGGTTAGTACGGGGAGGGACACAGAGAGAAGGGGGAGGTGGTCAAAGCATCTGGGGCGGAAGGAAGGGGACAGGCTACCAGAGTAGATGGGCCCATGGGTCTGTTCTCGGGTGGCAGGGATGGGGCAGGATATTGGTGGAGATGGGCGTATGGGCCTGATCCAGGACAAGGGAGGGAGCAGGATACCAAGTGAGATGGGCCCATGGGTCTGTTCTCGGGTGGCAGGGATGGGGCAGGATACCGGGCTTGATGGGCCTATGGGCCTTATCCAGGACAAAAGGGAGGGGGCAGGAACCAGGTGAGATGGGCCCAGGGTCTGTTCCGGGGCAGGGTAGGGTTTCCTGCCGTCTTTCCCAACAGCCGCAGCGTAAAGGTGGCAGCGCCAGACGCTGGAGCTGATGCTGACCATGAGAAACCCAAGAAAATGACTCTCCGTCAGTGGTTAAACATAACCAAATCCACCACGCGGCATGGCCACAAGGGGGCCCCAGCAGTTGCTATAGCAAAGCCGGCCACGCCAAGCGTGGCCCAAGCTTCTACTCTCGTTGGCTATAAAAGCCCCCACTCGCAAGCCCCGTGTTGTGTGTGGCTTCGCACTGCCTACTAGTGGCCAGACCCAGCCACTGCATCAGCCCACTAATTACAAGCCACGGATTCTGTTCACAGTGCCCCCTAGTAGCCACCCCCCGCCACTACCTCGGCTCACTAATTCTAAGCCACCTGTCCACATTGCACCGCCCTCTAATGGCCACATTTAGGAATTGCAATGACCCATTATTATATTGCACACTGTAGCGTGGGCATGTGAAACTATAACTCCTTTTCGTAATTAGTGCTGGTATTACAACATCTGGGAAATAGGGACTGGAGGGAATTGATGAATATTAGATAATCTGTAGTCAAACATGCATATGAGGCACTAGGCCATTTGTGTAATGCCACCAGAGTTCATAGAGCCCAGACTTTTTGTAGGTGTGCTATAGAACATGGCTGATGTCATGGATGGTAAGTGGATGTCTCTGTTGCTACAACAGAGTTAACCAATGGAACTGCCTGCCACTGGATTGTCACTAATTCTGGATCTCTCTGTGTCTCTCCCTCTAGGAGAGTTCAGAGGCCGACGGCCCCTCCTGGGTGGGGGAACACATCACATCAGCCATGCCCAGATGCGGTGCCTTCATCCCCCTCCTCCTCTTCATCCTCCCCGGGGCCTCCTCCCATTGTTACACAGGCACGGAAAATGAATGCAAGAAGCACATGGCCTTAGTGCCCGGGCACAGCTTGGTAGGAAGGGGCATTGATGTGACCACGATGGGCAGGAAGGGGGCCGATCTGGTCAACAGCAGCCTCTGGCAGCACGAGGACGGCACCTGCACCCTGTGTGAGAACCAACTGCAGGGAGGGCAGTGGCAGAGGCTGCCACTGGCCGTGGTGGACTGGCGGGTCCACGTCTCGTGCCGCCGGAAGCTGAGCAGCTCGGTGCAGCAGTCGGCGATGGGCATGATGGAGTCGGCAGCGTCCGCGGTGCAGAACGACTGGAAGGTGGGGCTGGACGTGCCTGTGAAGCCCAAGGTTAATGTCCAGGTGGCGCTGGCCGGCTCACGCTCCAAACTGGCCAGTTTCGTGGTAGACCACACGCGGATGGACAAATACAGCTTCATGAGCCACGAGGTCTCCTGTGGCTATTACAGGTGAGAGCCAGCCTGGGTCAGTAGGATCACAGCAACACCACAAAGTGACACAGGGCCTTTCCCTCTAGTGGGCCCTGGTTCCCATCCGGCCCCAGGACAGGAGACTAGATGGTTTAGGGAAGTGGGGATTGGGACATGGGGCCTTTCCCCTCTAGGGGACACCAGCTGACATCGGGGCTGGCCAGCTATGGGGGATGTTCTTGTCCTGTGTGTCAGGACAGCCCGGCGACCTGCCGTGGCCAGAGCGGGGGACGTCTGTCAGAACTATCAAGCAGCTGGCAGTATCCCCAGAAGGTTGTGAGGTTCAGCAGACAGGGTGGCTGCTTTGAGTAGGAGCCACCTGCTTAGATCCTTACTTGTGGGTTGTCTGGGGCCTTAGGACACAGAGCTAATGATCTCAGCTGACTCACCGAGCTGAACACACTCCTCACCTTGTGTCCCTGACCAGGTTCCGGGTCAGCGAGACGCCCCCGCTCACCAGCCATTTCACTCTGGCGCTCGAGAACCTCCCGGGCCAGTACGACAGCAAATCGAAGGTGGAGTACCAGCAGCTAATCAGCAACTACGGCACCCACTACGTGTCCCAGCTGCAGCTGGGGGGCCGGGCGCGGGACGTGACGGCCGTGCGGGTCTGCGAAGCGGCATTGAGCAGCTTGACTGACGACGAGATCAAGGACTGCTTGAGCATGGAGGCGTCTGTGAGTATCGGAACGGGCTCAGTCAAAGGTGGGAACAGCAAGTGCGAGGAGGAGAAGAAGAAGGGGAAGGTCCAGGGGAGCTTCCATGAGATGTATCGGGAGCGCCACGTGGAGGTTGAGGGAGGAGAGAGCACGACTGATGTGCTCTTCTCCGGCAGTGATCCCAAGGTCTTCTCGGCCTGGATTGAGAGTCTCAAAGGGAACCCTGGCCCGGTGTCCTATTCGCTGCAACCCATCCACAACTTGCTGGAGCAGAACGACCCAAAGCAGAAGGCGCTGAGGCAGGCAGTCAGTGAGTACATCCGTGAGAGGGCCCTGTGGAGGAATTGCACCCGAAGCTGCCCTCAGGGGACTCAACGCAGCGCCCATGACCCCTGCTCCTGTGTCTGCCCCGGGGATACCATGACCAACACCATGTGCTGCTCACGGGAGCGCGGCCTGGGGAAGCTGATGGTCACAGTGAAGAAGGCCAGTGGCCTGTGGGGGGATTACTTTACCGCTACGGATGCCTTTGTCAAGGTCTTCTTTGAGAGAAGGGAGATCCGGACCGGCACCATCTGGAACAACAACAATCCCGTCTGGAACGTCCACTTGGACTTTGGTACCGTCCGCATCACCAGCACCAGCAAGATCCACATAGAGGTCTGGGACGAGGACAACAAGTGGGACGATGACCTCCTAGGAGGCTGCGACATCCCGCTGGAGGCTGGGGGGCCCCACCAGAAGGATTGCTACCTGAACCACGGCCGCATCTGGTTCCAGTACAGCCTGCGCTGCGGGCCCCACCTCGGGGGTCGGAGCTGCCTCGACTATGTCTCCCAGCCACCCCAGCTGGGAACAGCCAAGGGGAAGGAGGTGGAGGCCTTCTGGTGAGCCCTTGATTGGAGGGGGACATGGATGTGCACTGGTCACTAGCGCTCCCTGTCCCCCAGAGCATTTCCTAGTTCCCGCTCTGCTGACACTACTGAGCTTCATGCTGTCACTCCTGCTCGGGAATCGGTGTCTACTATGCCCCTAAGAGACTGTCTGCTCCTGTGGCCCGATATCCTCGCAGCTCCCTCTGGGAAAACATTTCACCATGAACCGCACGTTCCGGAACCATCAGACCAGTGTGTCCAATGATTCCAGCCATCCAATGTATCCATCTAACCAACAAACAAAGCATGTACCTACTGCATCCAACCTATCTGCCCCCCGCATCCAGCCAACTGCCAACCAACCAACCAACCAACCAATTGTTGCATTTAGTTTATTCAACGTATTCAACCAGTAAACCGCCAACTGGATTTAGTGTATCCAATGTATCCAACCAACCTATGAAAGAACGTGTGCAGTGCATCTACTGTATCCATCCCTCCAACCAACCAATGAATATATCTAGTGCATCCAACGTGTGCAACAAACCAACCAATGAATGTATCCAATGTATCCAAACGACTGATGAATTGATCTAGAACATCCAAGGTAAAAAACCAGCCAGCCAACCAACCAATGAATGTGTTTAGGATGTCCACTGTAACCAGCCAACCAACAAATGTATTTAGCGTATCCAGCCAACCTGCCAACCAGTGTCTCCAATGTATCCATCCAGCCAACCAACCAGTGTATGTACCTAGTGCATCTGGTGTATCCACCCAACTAACGTCTTAGGTACATCCAACCAACATGTGTAGCCAGTGCAACCAACCAACCAATGAGTATCAAGTACGTCCAGTCAACCCATATGTGCTGGCAGTGCAACTAATCCACCACCCCACGTATCCATCCACCCACTGTAATTACCTGTCTAGTGCACCCAGCTGAAAAGAGATCATGAGGAGAAAAGCTCCACCCCTGTCCTATTGTGGCATCAGGGATTAACCCTCTGCAGAGACCTGAAGATACTCCAGCGATGGGCAAGTTCTAAACACGCAGTGGATGGGCTGGGCTCCTGGAGGGAGGGTTCATTAGGGGGCTGTTTCCTAGCTGTCATTACTGGTGCTTTCCACAATTATCCAGCAGCTCTGGGGTACATTATCTCATCCTGAAGGTGCAGGCCCCACCCACCATCCAGCTGGATGTTCCATGCTCAGATGATCAACAGAGATGATGCTTTGTCACTTGCCATTGGTAGGATTCAGAGTTAACACCCACGAGGACATGCAACAGGGCTATCGGTTCAGGCTGTCAGCCGGCTCAGGGAGATGGCACTGCATTGGGGTCACACTGGAGAGGGAAAATTCCCCCTGATTCTGGGATTAAAGCATCTTCCTGGCTCACCCCTCTCTGCATCTGTGAGAGCCTAGACTTATAGTCCCATGGTGCTGTTAACTGGTAATGAGGGTTGTTAACTCTGAACCCTATTGACTGCAAGTTAAATATATCCAGCCTGTTAAAGTGCCATGCAGCTTTGCATCTCCACCACAAAATGATTTGCTTCTGGGAGGATTCCATCTCTCTGGATCTTTGCAAATGTATCTCCTTGCTTCAATAAAAGTTTGTGAAAGCAAATTTATAAGCAGGAAGCCTTGTCATTCTTCTAACCTCAGGGGGCTGGACCTAGATGTAGAATAGAAATACATGCTTGGGAACACTAGGGGGAGCTTTAGGCTGGGCCGGAGCGAGGCATGGCAGGACAAGGGAACTAAATAAATGGATGGATTTGCTGCAATGGGGAATCTGGTGTAATGTGGCTAATGCCAGGCAAAGGGATGGGCTTCTATCAGGCACAGAGTGGGGTGGGTGGGGAAGAGATACAGGGAGATGCACAGTGTTCTTAGGGGCATTAATATCCACAGCTGATATTTGCAAGACACTGCTATTCCCAAGCGATTGAGGAGGGGATAAGAGGAATTTTCCCTCTAAGGAGATTTAGCTCCGATCTGGCTCTAGGGCAGGGGAATTGGCTGCCTCAGGAGACTGGGGAATGGGACACACAGCCTTTCCCCTCTAGGGGGCGCTGGTTCTGATCTGGCCCCACGACATGGCTGGCTCCGGAGGCTGGGGAATTAGAATAATATTTCTCCTCTAATGGTGCAGCTCCAATTCCCTGCAGCAGGTGGCAGCCTGGACTCGTGCAACCCCGAACTGGTTGATCGGTTAAATCCATCTTACATGGCAGGTCTGACATTGCGTGGCAGGTGTTGGGGATGGGGGGAGGCTCTGAGCTCCTGACCTGCCCCTGGAAGGTAGGCTGGGATCCTGGTGCAGAGGTACAGAGAGAGCCGGTGGGAGTGCGGTTGTGATGCACAGTGGAGAGAAGAGGATCTTTCCATAGCCTCCTTCTGCCCCACCACACACCCAGTGGCTTCAGAGCAAGCCCCTGCAGAATACAAGGCCCTAGCTGGCAGGGCCCACCTCCATCCTGCTGCCACCTGGGCCCTAGATCTTCTCCGTACCCCAGTGCCCAGGACATTGGCAGAGCATGAATCTGCTAGATGCTGCAGCACCCTGGGCAATACTATAAGCTGTCAGGGACAGCGGGATGGGCAGAATTGGGAGCCCCATGGCAGGTGGTGGAGCCGAGATGAAGGAGTGGGGAGATAAGGACATGGTGACGCCGATGAGACACAGGGGCCAACACAGGCATCTCGTAGTGTTGCTCGCCTCATAGAACCACGGGCCAGTTCGGGGGGGGAGGGGTACGTGTGTAAATATTCATCCCAGAGCTCAGATCCAGAAACAGGGAGCCACAAAGGCCAGGTCAGGATGGGGCTGGGAGGCAGGAGATGCCAGTGCAGCATGGTCCCACCAGCAAGCTACCTCTGCTCCGAGGGGCTGAATGCTAAAATCACGGAGCCCTGGTCGGGAAACTGGGAGCCACGTGGCCCAGACCAGTACGGAGCCGGGACGTAGCCCATCCCAGAGCAGAACGCTCCTGCTGGGAAGCAGTCGGGTGGAATCATGGAGCAGAGGCCAGGAGAAAAGGGGGCCTGAAAGATGTGGCAGAACGGGGACGGGAATCTCGTAGCCCCTCCCCTAGAGTCATGGCCCCCCTGCCTGGCACATGTAACCCCTATGACTCAAGCTGTAACATCGAGCAGCGCTAGAGCCACATGTCTCAGTTTCTAGTGGCAGGAAGAGCGGTTCTGACCACAGGCTTCCTCCCCTCCCCCCCCTTCACTGCAGCTGCTCGGCATTGGGGGAGGGAGAAAGTGCCTCCGACATCAGTGATTGGATTGTGGCAGGAGACCCCAGATCTCCACGCCACGCCCGCTGTCGGGCCAGTCAGAGCTGCGTCTCCATCCAAGCCTGGGCCTTTCTCATCGGGAGAGAACCCAGGGGTCCTGCCACCCGCCTCACCCCAAACATTAAACCTTTTTCCTTAGCACTCACTGGAGAGGTAGAAAACTTCCCTGTGAGATCTGTTCAATTGTTTCTTTCTCCCAGATCTAGACCCCAGAGATATGAAATGTTTAATGGGTTAAGAAGTTCTAGCTCTCTGTCCACATAACATATTTACAGATCAATCAAATCTATCTATCTATCTACCCCCATACACCCTTGTATCTATCTATAATCGTATATGACTCTGGCTTTGTCTAAACAGCACTTTTGTGAGTAAAATCTTTGTCATTCCAGGGTGTGAAAAAACAACACCCTGAACAAGAAGTTTTACCGACAAAAAGCATTGGTGTGAACAGCGCTTGATCAAAGAGATTTTCACATCTTCAATGTCAGCCCCTGCAACACACAAACAGCATGTCAGGGACATAGTCCTGCCCCCTGAATCAGAGTACATGGAGGGGCAAAATACCAGGCTAAATCAGCCCGTTGATCTGATCGGGGGCAGGAGAGCAGGCTTGAGGGGCCCATGGGTCTAATCCAGGGTGGAATGGAGGGGGAAGGATACCGAGACAAATGGGACCATCGGTGTGATCAGGATCCCACACCCAAACTTCGTCCCAGAGCCTTAGGCAGGTGAGTGTGTGGTGGGCGGAGGGAGGGAAGCAGGACATGGACATGTTTTGGGCAAACCTGCCACCCCTACATTCTTCTAACCTCAGTGGCTGGACCTAGATCTAGAGTAGAAATGAGTGGCTCCTATACACGCTTGAGAACACTATGGGTTGCTCTGGGCTGGATGGGAACGAGGCATGGCAAGACAGGGGATCTAGATAGCTGGATGAATTTGCTGCAATGGGGAATTTGGTGTAATGTGGCTAATGCCAGTCAAAAGACTGGCTTCTGTCGGAGGGAACACCCAGCACCCCCATGTTCGTCTTTATAAAATGTGTGGTATCCAATGCAACGTTTGTCATGTTGGGTGTCTTCTGAAGGCTCATGATGCACTGAGCATGGTTGTTACAGTGATGTTATAGTGAGGTTATAGGTTATAATTTCATGTATAAAGTTATGAGGCTGAAAATGTGTCCTCAAGGTGTAAAACAGGCCCAGGCAAAACTCTCCAAGAGCAGAGAGGCAGGTCACACCTCATGAGGGCGTGTATGGGAGAAACCCAGCCCAGCCTCACAGGAACAAAGGACACTGGCCTAGGCAACAACAAAAAAGTCTGTTAGACTCTCGAGGGAATCACTGCCTTTCCTTTGGTCAGTTTGGGACTGCGATGAGGTAATACTCACCTGACTCTGAAAGGGGGGGGAGCAAAGCCAAGAGGGAATAAAGGACATGATAAAAGGGAGAGACATTTGCCATGCTCGCTCGCTCTTCCACCTACATCTATGGACACTACACCAAGCAACTGAAGCGCTGATCATAGGGGAGAGCCTGGCTGAAGAGCAACCAGCCAGTCTGTGGTGAGAAGCATCTAAGTTTGTAAGGGCACTGAAAGTGTTAAGATCAGCTTAGAATGCGTTTTGCTTTTATTTCATTTGACTGACACTGACTTGTTATGCTTTGACTTATAATCAGTTAAAATCTATCTTTTGTAGTTAATACATTTGTTTGTTTGTTCTACCTGAAGCAGTGCATTTGGTTTGAAGCATGTCAGAGACTCCCCTTGGGATAACAAGCCTGGTATATATCAATTTCTTTGTTACATTGACAAACTAATATAAGCTTGCAGAGTCCAGCAGGGATAACTGGACATTGCAAGACGGAGGTTCCGAGGGTTGAGTAAACTCATAAATTGTCCACTCTCTATAACACTGAAAGAAAGAGATGCACAGCTGTTTGCTCCCCAGGTATTAATCACTTACTCTGGGTTAATTAATAAGCAAAAGTGATTTTATTAAGTATAAAAAGTAGGATTTAAGTGGTTCCAAGTAATAACAGACAGAACAAAGTAAGTTACCAAGCAAAATAAAACAAAACACACAAGTCTAAGCCTAATACATTAAGAAACTGATTACAGATGAAATCTCACCCCCAGAGATGTTCCAATAAGCTTCTTTCACAGACTGGACTTCTTCCTAGTCCTGGTCCAGCGACCACTCACATCCTCGTAGTTACTGTCCTTTGTTCCAGTTTCTTTCAGGCATCTCTTGAGCCAGCTGAAGACAAAATGGAGGGGTTTACAGGTCCTTTTATATTCTTTCATTTGTGGCCAGAAACCCCTTGTTCTCCTGAGCAAAATCACAGCAACAAGATGGAGTTTGTAGCCACCTGGGCAAGTCACATGTCCATGCATGATTCAGCTTTTTGCAGGCCGACATCATTGTTTACATGTTAATTTGAACATTCCCAGGAAAGTTCAGATGTGGATTGGTGTCTCCTAAAGTCCATTGTCAGTTAAGTGTTTCTTGATTGGCCATTTCCTGAGAATAGTCCTTTCTCAAGAAGCTGACCAAATGCTTCACTGAGGCTACTTAGAATCAAACACATTGAGATACAAGCACATAGCCAATATTCATAACTTCAAATACAAAAACGATACACACATGCAGACAGCATAATCATAACCAGCAAACTACATCCTTTCTATACACACCCGACTTGACCTCCTCTATTCAAGAGCTGGGGCAACCACAGGACCCTGGTTGCAACAATAATCTATATGGTCACAGTTCATGTCAATAATGTCACAGCATGGTGGACTTGAGAGGATCTTTCAATAACCTCCTCCCGCCCCACTACAAACCCAGTGGCTTCAGAGCATGCCCCTGCAGAGAACATGGCCCTAGCTGGCACGACCCACTTCCATCTCACTGTCCCCTGGCCCCAGCCCTTCCCCATTCCCCAGTGCCCTGGGGCTAGGAGAGGCAGAGCATGAATCAGTTACTTTCTGCAGCGCCCTGGCAGGGACAGCGGGATGGGCAGAAGTGGGAGCCCCATAGCAGGCGGTGGAGCCAAGATGAAGGGGTGGGGAGATAAGGACATAGTGAGGCCGATGAGACACAGGGGTGAACACAGGTGTCTTGTAATGTAGCTCCCCTCATAGAAATACGGGCCAGATGTGGTGCTGCGGTGTGTGCGTGTGCAAAAATTCATCCAAGAGCCCAGATCAGGATGGGGCTGGGAGGCAGGAGATCCCAGTGCAACATGGTCCTGCCTCCAAGCTACCTCTGCTCTGGGGGAGCTGCAAACTGGGGCCGAACTCTAAGGTCACAGAGTCCAGGTTGGGAAACTGGGAGTCACATGACCCAGACCAGTACGGAGCTGGGACGTAGCCCATCCCGGAGCAGAACGCTCCTGCTGGGAAGCAGTCGGGTGGAATCATGGAGCAGAGGCCAGGAAAAAAGGGGGCCTGGGGGATGTGACACAAAGGGGACGGGATTCCCGTAGCCCCGCCCCTAGAGTCATGGCCCCCCCTGCCTCGCACATGTAGCCCCTATGACTCAAGCTGTAGCATCGGGGACCACTAGAGATGCGCATCTCAGTTTCTAGAGGCAGAAAGAGATGTTCTGACCACAGGCTTCCCCCCGCCCCCCGCTGCAGCTGCTCGGCGCTGGGGCAGGGAGAGAGCACCTCCGACGTCAGTGATGGGGGAGTGATGGGGGAGTGATGGGAGACTCCACGCCACGCCCGCTGTTGGGCCAGTCAGAGCTGCCCAAGTCTGGGCCTTTCTCATCGGGAGAATTGTTTCTTCCTCCTACATCTAGACCCCAGAGATATGAAATGTTTAATGTGTTAATTTCTATCTGTCTCTCCCTATAACATATTTACAGATCATTCTAATCTATATATCTATCCATCCCCATACATCTCCCCTCTATTTATCTATCCGTCCCCATACACCCACATCTATCTATCTATCTATCTATCTATCTATCTAGCCCCATACACCCACATCTATCTATCTATCTATCTATCTATCTATCTATCTATCTATCTATCTATCTATCTATCTATCTATCTATCTATATGTCATCTTATATGACCCTGGCTTTGTCTACACAGCACTTTTGAGGGTAAAATTTTTGTCGTTCAGGGGTGTGAAAAAACACACTCCCCGCAATCACAAAAGTTTTGCCAAGAAAAAGAGCCAGCGTGAACAGCGCTTGGTCAAAGAGATTTTCACCTCTTCATGTCATCCCCTGAGACCCACAAACAACATGTCAGGGGCATAGTCCTGCTCCCCGAATCAGAGTACATGGAGGGGCAAAATACCAGGCTATATCGGCCCGTCGATCTGATCGGGGGCAGGATACCAGGCTTAAAGGGCCCATGGGTGTAATCCAGAGTGGCATGGAGGCGGAAGGATACCAGGCCAAATGGGACCATCGGTCTGATCAGAGGTGGCAGGGTTGGGATAGGATACCAGGCTAGCTGGACCCACGGGTGTGACACTGCACCCCATATTTGTCATCGTAACATTATTATGATATGATTATGGCATTATTATGATGCATTTTGTATAAGATAAGTCATGTGAGGTGTCATTGGAAAAGTTATGATTTTCTGAATATGATTATCCTCTGTGTATGCATGTATCGTTTTTGTATCTAAATTTAGGAATATTGACTATATCTCTGTATATTTCAATCGTGCTTATTCTGGGTGACACCCACAACTAGACTTTCTGGTACAACAATGAAGAAGCCGGACGGTGCTGGTGGCCCATCAGCAAAGATAATGGACTGTGGAATAACTTAACCTTCCTGTGAGCATTTTGGCCAGCCAGTAAGCAGTGGCTGCTATAACACTGCAAGGGCATGCGATTAGACCACATGTCTCTGGACTCTATCTTGAGATGTCAGTAGTTTTCCACAAACTGGTCTAGGAACCAAGCTTTGAAACGAAGTGTTCCCACCCTATGCTAAAGCTATATCAGAGTGATATCATCTGGCTCTAAATTCTCCACACAAGAAGACTCCTGGAAACACCTGAGAAACAAAGACTAAACCGTGGGAAGTGCTGGACCCAGGCTAAAGGGATTTTTAGCCTGTGTATGAAAGGCCTGGGGTTTCCAAGATGTAGATCAAATGCAGCTTGACCCTTACAAACCTGCAGCCTGCTTGTACCATCTCCCAGGGTGAGAATCTGCTCATTCAAATCCAATCTATCTAGTATATTAAGCTTAGTTTGCATTTTTGTTTATTTGCGAGGTAAACTGCTTTGATGTCTTTGCCATCACTTACAATCACTTAAAATCTTTTGTAATGAATCAACTTGTTTTTGTTTGGTCTAAACCAGTGAGCTGGAGTGAAGTGTTTGGGGGCAAAGGCTGTTGCATATTCCTCTCCACATTGAGGGAGGGGGCAAAGTTTATGAGCCTTTATGAGTGCTCTGGAATGAACTCCCAGTGGTCAGCGTGGGCGACTGGGACTGGCTTGAGCTACCTCTCGCTGTGGCCGAGTTCTCGGAAACCCTCCGTCTCATGGCTACCAATAAATCTCTGGGCATGGATGAGCTGACCGTAGAGTTCTACTGTGTGTTCTGGGATGTCTTCAGCTCGGACCTTGTCACCGTCTGGGGCTAGTCCTTTGGGAGCAGAGTCCTCCCTTTGTCAGGCAGGGGAGCCATGCTCGCTTTGCTATTGAAGAAGGGGAACCCTCTGCGACCTTCGGAATTGGCATCCCATCTCGCTCCTCAGCATGGACTACAAAGTCGTAGTGAAGGCCATCTTGCTGCGGCTCGGGTCCGTGCTGGCGGATGGGGTCCATCTGACCAGACCTACACCATCCTAGGACGCATCATCTTTGATAATTTGTATTTGGATCAGGACCTCCTGGGACTGCTGCACTCGGCAGGCATTCAGCATTCAAGCAGTCAACCCCTCCAGCGGCCGAGGTAATTCTACCAAGAACAGGCAGGGAGACACCCAGCTAAATTGCATGAATGCTCTAATTATACAGAGACGGACACCAGCAAATCTCCCCAGCCTTGCACCCCAGCAATGCCCCGTTTTACACGGTTCAAGACCTTCTCTTGAACAGTGCAAGTTCATTAATTAGTTTGCCACTTTGTCAAAGGAAAGTGGACATGCACCAGCTTCTGTAACCTGAGCCGATTCCCCAAGCCCTCTAGACAAACTCACAGGTAAGGATAAAATGTTAAAGTCGGTTTATTAACTGCAGAAAGATAGATTTTAGTTGATTACAAGTGATAAACCCAGAGGTCAACGTTGGTTACACAAGAAATAAAAATAGAATCGCAATCTAAATCGCTTAATCTGTTAAATTTAGAAGATTTGAATCCAAGAACTTTTCTCACCCCACTGGTTGTTCCAGGCACTTGACAGTTCTCTGTACACAGGCTGGATTCCCCTCTTAGCCTGGGACCAAGCTCCCCAGTTCAAAGTCTTTGTCTTCCCAATGATGTTGGGATACCGGAGGAAAGCGGCCAAGTGGTGATGTCACTGGGATTCTGGATTCTTTTTGTTCGGCCATCAACAGGGGTCTGGCCCATCCTGATGTAAATGTGTCTTGTTTCTTGCACCTTTGTTGTCACTGAAAGACTGGCTGTGAGCATTTCCCACTTACCACATATTTCACAAGCAAACATATTTCAATACTTGATAACTTCACCTACAATAATAGCACTCACCATTCAACAGGATATTAATATTCAACAGATCAAGACTTCTTAAATGATACCGCACAAGGCATGTATTGTACAAAACATTTCAGTGTCGTATCACAGTGTTGAATATGTTGGTTCTTGAGTGTTATTTTGAGGTATAGCGTGTCACACCCCCGCCCCCAGCTTGTAGGAGATAGAAAAGTGGATGGGAGGGCACGTTGGTATGGAGTGAGGGGGGCTCCTGGTAGAATAAATGGGCATTCAGGGTGTGGGGGTGACCCCAGCAGAATAATGAGGGGTGCAGGGAGTGGGAGTGACCCCTGGAAAAAATAATATGGATGCAGGGGGGTAGGGTCCTACCAGCAGGGGGTGCAAGAGTGAGCAGAATCCCCTGATGGTGTCAGCACAGGGGCTGCTCTGGGGGCTGTGGGAGCCTGGGGTTGGAGTCCCAGGGCAGGAAAGGGTGGATAGAATACAACGTGGGGCAACAGAGAGAGAGAAGGAAACCTCAAACCTGCTCTACAGCAGCCCAGGGTTGTCCTCCCCACCTCAGTGCCCAATTTCCCCACCTCCACCTGAGTCTGCCCCACAGGGCCGGGGCATTGGGCTTGCTCCGGATTTACCCAGGGATCAGAACCCTGGCCTGATTCCATTGGCATCGGTGGGGTTTCTCTGTATTTATAGTGGGGTCCCTGGGAAACGAGGTGGTGGCCCCAGTGCGGCATTGAGGGTGCTGTGCTGCAGGACTCGGGGCTCAGCAGGGGGTGCTCTCCCCAGGCAGTCAGTGCTGGTCCGAATGACTCGGTGCAGGGTTTGTCTCACTCTTTTCCTTTGCAGCCTCTCTAGCTCCTCATACCCTGGGCGGAGACCCACAGGAGGTGCATTTGAGCCAACACAGGGGTGGAACAATTGCTGGCCACAGCTTCCTGCCCAATGGCTGTGGCTGGGGGTGCAAAGAGGGGCATGAGCTCAGTGCTGGGGGAAGTGTGATGACGGCTGAGACACTCAGAACGCAGGAGACTTCGTGCAGTGTCTTGGTCAACTTCAAAGCACATCTCTCCCAGCAGAGGCACAGCCGAACCCCAGCTGCCGACAGGCCCCGGAGCCGAAATATACCTCAGCTCGATTCCTGAGGCAGGTGAGTGATGGGTGGGTCTCCTCAACCCCAGCTGAGATTGGGAAACTCATAGCACCAGGTCCTGTACCCCTACCAAGATCAGGGCCCCCTTCATGCCGGGCACTGCACGTACCCCGACTGAGATCAGGGACCCCATCGCGCCGGGCGCTGCAGAGACCCCGACCGAGATCAGGGACCCCATCGCGCCGGGCGCTGCACGGACCCCGACCGAGATCAAGGCCCCCATCGCGCCATGGACCCTGGAAGAGATCAGAGAACCCATTGCGCCGGGCGCTGCACAGACCCCAACCGAGATCAGGGACCCCATCGCGCCGGGCGCTGCACGGACCCCAACCGAGATCAGGGACCCCATCGCGCCGTGTGCTGCACAAACCCCGGCGGAGATTGAGGACCCCGTCTCTGGGTGCTGCACAAACCCATCCCAACTGAGATTGGGGCCCCCCGTAATGCTGGGCTCTGCACAGACCACCCTATTGTGATTGGGGGCCCTGTCAGACTGCGTTCTATACAGACCTCAACCAAGATCGTGGTCCCCAGTCCCTCCTGCTCTAACTCACTCGATCCCACTCCCCTCCCAGTGCGACAATAGAACTCAGCCGTCCTGACTCCCCCCGCCCAGTCCCTCCTGCTCTAACCCACTCGATCCCACTCCCCTGCCAGAGCGACCAGAGAACCCAGGAGTCCTGACTCCCTGCCCCCCATTGTCTAACCCACTTCACCCCACTCCCCCGCCAGAGCGACAATAGAACCCGGAGTCCTGACTCGCAAACCAGTGCTCCAGCCACTAGACCACGTTGCCACTCAGCTTTTGATACTTAATTTACATAGTTGATACCTTTCCTATCAGGGGCATCTTGAAATTTCAGGCTGTTTAATTTTCTATTGGCAACAAAGCAGTGGGGCAGCAGGTTGGGACTGAGGAGTACTGGCGGGGGGGGGGGGGGCAGGGAACCTCAAGGCTCGGCTTGCAGGGGGTTGGGGGCTGGGCAGAACCGAGCCATCAATATGTATGTGTATTTTTCCTGCCTGGTTCTGCTGGGGTGAGGTCAAACATTTACTGTCCCCTCCCAGTCCGAGCCTCCTACTGTCACAGGATGCAGAGCTGTCACCCTTTGCTCTCCCACAGCCAGCATTGCTGTACAGCTCCAACCCAAGTTGAACACAATTGAAATCTACATCTAACACAGCATCCCTTGTGGTTAGTACGGGGAGGGACACAGAGAGAAGGGGGAGGTGGTCAAAGCATCTGGGGCGGAAGGAAGGGGACAGGCTACCAGAGTAGATGGGCCCATGGGTCTGTTCTCGGGTGGCAGGGATGGGGCAGGATATTGGTGAAGATTAGGGTTACCATATCTAATAAATAAAAAAAGAGGACCCTCCACGGGCCCAGGCCCCGCCCATTTCCCCACCCCTAGCCCCGCCTCAACTCCACCCCTTCCCCGCCCTCCTCCTCCCTCCCACTCCCAGCCACGGGGAAAGGGTGCCCCAGCGCTACCGGCTTCAGGGTTTGCCGGGCAGCCCCCAGACCCTGCGCCCCCGGCCGGCACTTCCCCAGCGCAGCTGGAGCCCGGGAGGGGAAGCGCCCAGCTGGGGGCGCAGGGTCTGGAGGCTGTCCGGCAAACCGTGAAGCCAGGCTTTGGGCAGCCCCCTATGCCTCCGGACCCTGCGCCGCCGGAGCCCGGGAGGGGAAGTGCCCGGCCCGCGGCTGGGGTCCGGAGGCAAGGGGGCTGCCTGAAGCCCATAGCGCTCGGGGAGCTCGGCTCTTAAACAGAGCCGAAGAGTCGGGGAGG